CTACTGTGCGTCTCTAGGTCTCTTTTGGGTCTGCCCCTTTTGCGATGTCCTTCGGGTGTCCAGTGGAGGGCAGTCTTCCCAATAGAGTTTGGTCCTCTGCTCAGAATATGTCCAATCCATCTCCATCTTCTCCTTTTTATTATGATGGTCATGTCCTCTTGCCTGCAGTGCTTACAGTACAGTGCATTTGTTCTAATAGTATGCAGTGAGCAAAGTACGTATGGTACTGTCTTTTACTGTATAACCATATCATAAACGACGGTAATTTTGAAAACATGAACCCTTTTGTTTTCTCTCATCCTTATTTCAAAATCCGTCGGTTTGTAATCCGCGTGAGCCGATTTATACTGTAGCCTAAATCTACCAGAGTTCATAATCCATTAGTATCACGACGAGGTGGTATCAGGTGCTTGTCCATTTTTGAGCAAGTGGAGTTATTGATATTCTCTGAAAGCTTCTTCATTTGCCTTGCTTTTAGTGAAAAAATACCCATCTATCTTAATTAGAATTCGAAATATTTGCTATTGAAGGAGGTGGGGGTAGCTTGGTTTCACAGGTTAAATTAGAGGGGAAATGAACGCCAAAGTTTGGTAAATTCTATAGCTTGAGAGTCCTGAAAATTGAAAATCTACCTATTTTGTGCTATTAATCAACGTTTTTCAGTAAAATTCACGTGGAAATGTGTTTTTATATTCTTGATATAAAAATGTTGAGCCAAAAAATAAAATTTGGGTAAAAAGTGCCAAACTGTAGGAAAAATACAATTTTCTTTGATCTTATAATTTTGACGAGCGCTTGGTGTCACAGCAATGCCTCTGTGCTATAAACACAATAATCAAAGCGTGATTAGCGTCAAGATTTCGAACACATCGGTACCTTCGATAAACCATCATTTGCAAAAGCTAGTATTCTTTTTTTTCCTATCCGAAGGCCTGTATTTTGTATCCCCAACAGAGGGGCAATCATCTCATCTAAGGAAAAACCGTACTTAAGAGCGGTACATAAATCACCCCTTCACTCCCCTAGCACAGGCTGTACACGTTTTAATGATCGAACTACAATTACATATCTATAAAGGGCTTCGTTTATGATGGGGGTTGGGGGGGGGGAGGTAATACATTACGAAGGCTCATTAAACAAACACAAAACGGAGAAATGGCATTCGGTTCAGATAATGGACACATTCATATAATATTATTATTTGATAATGCATTACATTGTTTAAACGGAGAGTTCACATTATTATCAAATGGAATGGAATGAGATCAATATAATATCAGATTCTCAATGTTGATTATATTTGAAAACAGACGTATGGCATCAGACCAGACCATCAATGATTTATTTATAGAGGTACCAGCCATCCATGTCCAGGTGCTGTTTTAGCCTCTAACGTATGGCATCAATGGGAGGAATTAATGTCAATGAGCTACATTTTTGTACCTCAAATGAGCATTACTTATACTCACAGTCACAGTGGCAGTGGGATCATACTCTACCGTGCGTTCCTGCCGTTACCCTACTTCACTTATCTTCCCTCTAGGCCATGGGTTCTTACTTAGGAGAACACAACTTACATCATGGTGTCTGACCACACGCTACGGTGAGACATTCCTGTGGTGGGACTTACAGTTACATCAACGGTGGCGAGTTACATCAACGTTTAGTCTTCTAGCCTGTCACAGTTTTTTCAGTGTTGGTTACTTTACAGAACATCCCTGTTTTTTGCTTCTGCAGGGCTCCAA